GTGGTATATACGACATTAACTAATTTATAAGTATGTTAACGTAACTGACGAGTTTCGTAGCAATTGGTCGAACGGCCTAGGAGTACATATCTAACAAACAATCAAACATTCTCTATCGACCAGAACAGTTGGTTATAACGACGACATTGTATACACGTCATAGTCGTCATGGTGACAACATGATCGTAATCAGTGTTTGGCCTTGGGTTCCTAGAATTCAGGCTGACTTACGCGCTATTTTTAGACCAAAACGCAGTGCGTGGCATATTGAAAGTGCAATGAACATCCGTTTAAATGTACAAAGCTGTATTAAAATGATTTGCAAAATTTATCAACGATATAAAAATGCTAATAATAGAAATTATTTAAGTTAAAAGTTCAATAAAATATATGCGAAGATATAATTTATGATAGTTCTTAAAGTTAATAAAAAATACATGTCTGTAATTTATTTAAAAAGTAAAATCATTAAATACACAAGCACCTTTAAATAATAATAAACCTAATAACTATTTTCGAATGGTTTGTGCAATTAACTGCATCTCGAGTATGGTCTGAATTAATGACGATTTTACTGGTTATTACCATTTGCAATTTTTTCTCAAACACATTCCTACCCTGAAAATTAATCTTTTTACCCATTGTATAATAATTAATAATATAAAATATTTTTATAACAAAATCTCATAACAGATGGCACAACACGAAATTTTATTTATTATGATTAATAATATAAAAGTTATTTTTAAATAAAATCTCATAAAAGCAGGGAAAGTTGCGTAACTCGTTGCTGGTGGTGTGTAATTGATTATCTTTTTTATTAAACAATAAAGTTAAGTATCTGTTCAGATATTAAAATAATTGATTGCTGCTGCTAATTATTTTGTTGCTGATACTGTAAAACGATATAAAATCGTGTATTTTGTTTCAATAAAATCATTTAAACGGTAAATTATTTTATGTTTTTTAAGCAAATAAATTCATGTGTTAATTGTTTATCGTTTAAAAGGAGCATATTAACACTACATTTAAATAAATCGTATGATAATAGAGTAGATAAGAAATGCCTTATCTAAGAACAAAGTTTAAAAATCAAATTTATTATTAATTTGTACATTCAAACTGAAAGGATGTTATGGCAATTATGTATAGTTGTTATTTGTGTAGTTCTTTTAATATCGATAACAAAATGGAATCAGTACAAACAGTTAAACCGTCTCAAAGAGTGTAATTTAACTGTTTCACCAATACCTAATCTTTTTTATGTATTTTGTAAAGTAATGCTGAATAGAACTAATTCAGATTACATTCCTCAAGTTTGTAAGTTTGTTATATTTCCTCATTTTAATAAGTTTTGTTAGATTTATTAACTTCAATTTTAATTTTAATCAGGGATTTTCCAGTATATGTATGGCAAAAGTCGTCTATACGAAAGAGAAAGACTGTACGTTGTTTATGTAGCTGGAAACTTTATTGTACATCTGTACAAACCGGAATACATCGAAGTAAATTTTTCAAAAATATTTATATTAAATTAAAAAGTACGTTTTATATTAATTAAGTGTATTTTTTTTCTCTCAAGGTAATTATAAACAGCCACACAGTTCTAGATAAAGGTTGGATGTATAATGCATTAAAATCATGGCTAGGAAATGGGTTAATTACCAGGTAAATCCATTTATTATAAATAAGTAATACTATGAACGTATTAAGAGTGTGGCTTTTATAATTTCCTATACAGATCCAGAGAGTTATGGAAGCCAAGGCGAAAGTTATTAACACCAGCATTTCACTTTAAAATTCTAGAAAATTTTCATACAGTTATCAATAAGCATTGTTTTATTTTAATCGATAAACTAGAGAAAAAAGTACAAGATCCATGGGTTAACATCACTCGCATGTTATCCTTATGCACTCTTGATATTATAGCAGGTATCTATTATTAATCCAATTGCTACATAATCTTATAAGGTATTAGTATATTTTTATAATATATTTATTAAGAAACTGCAATGGGAGTAGAAATAAATGCTCAACGCGACGAAGAATCTGAATATGTCAAGAATGTTAACAGGTTTTGAAACACTTTATTTGTATAAGTTTCAGAATTGACTGATCTATATCCTGTAATTCTTCTTGTAATTCTAGAATTGAAGAATTGATATTGTTGAGAAATATGCATCCTTGGATGTGGTCTGATATGCTCTTTAGTATATCCTCATCAGGAAGAGAATTTAATCGTGTACTTAATACAGTACATAACTTTACTAGAAAGGTACGATTTAAAAATGTGAGGAAGATTATTCTTTTGTCCTTTCACATGATCGAATCTTTTCATTCTCTATATTATCATTTTCTGTAATTTAAATTTTCAGTTTTTTTCCAAATTTATGATCTATATCAGTGTTTTTCAACCTTCTTGAATACGCGACCCCTTTACAAGTTAAAAAATTCTGGCGACCCCCCAGGGCCATATTAAAATTATATCAGTGATTTTAAAAACTACGTATTTAATTTTCTTTCTGTTGAGACCTAAATATCAATTAAAAAACCAATTGTACTGTAAAATAAACAGATACAGTTTTCTCACTGAAATTGTAGTTTTCTTTATTGTAGTATAGGACCTACAAACACTTGTCTTTTTCTTTTACCCGCGACATCCCACGTAAGGCTTTGCGACCCCTCTGGGGGTCGCGACCCACAGGTTGAAAAACACTGATCTATATAATAGAATCATTACAAAGTAAACACTATAATTCATATTCTTATCTTCGAATATGATTACTAAAATAGCCTACTTAATACTGAGAAACTGTCTGTGAGCATCTCTAGTGAACCCTCAAAGCTTAAATAAGCTCTTTCTTCCTCTCTGTTCAAAATTGCTCACTTGTTTATCATTAATGTGTTCTAAGATGCTGTCCATAAACATAACTTTATATATGTGTATAATATGTGTATAATATTTATAAGATGAAGGGATCATTTCAAGTTTTCTATGTTAATAGGTAATATCTAAAAGGAAACATGAAATGCAAGAATATTTAAAAGGTAAAAAAGTTTCTATCGATGAAAGTTCTGAAAATGTATATACACAGAGTAAAAACAGAAAGCCATTCCTCACCCTTCTTCTCCATCATCATTTGAATAATGGAGACATCACTGAAGAAGATATTAGAGAAGNGAAATAAAATGCCCTCTGTTCCAGTTGCTTATGCCAGCTTGACTAAAGAGAATTACAAATTCTTATGAAGGATGATAAATTCATTACAATACAATGAATACAAATGGAAAATATGTGGAGACTTCAAAGTAATTGCTATGACATTGGGAATGCAACAAGGCTACACGAAGTATGCATGTTTTCTTTGCGAGTGGGATAGTCATGACAGAAATTCTAACTAAATGTAAAAAAAATGGCCTAAGTGGAGGTGGAAAGTGGACGAAAAGAATGTGCAACATGAAAGTCTGGTAGCTCCTGAAGATATACTACTTCCACCGCTTCACATCAAACTTGGCCTAATGAAACAATTCGTAAAGGCCATGGATCCAACAGGCAGTGGATTTGCATATCTAGCTGACAAATTCCCCATCTTTCAGCTGCAAAAATAGAGGAAGGTGTATGTATGGGCCCGCAAATCAAGGAGTTGCAGAAAGATGCAAATTTTGAAGCATGTTTAACTGCCAAAGAAAAGAGAGCATGGGTGTGTTTCAAGATGGTATCAGAAAACTTCCTCGAAAGAAGAGCTACCAACTACAAAGCAATGGTGAATGACATGATCAAAGCACACCAATATCTGGGATGCAATATGTCTCTGAAGGTACATATGATAGACTCATCTGAACTACTTCACAGAGAGTTGTAGTGACGTATCGGATGAACATGGCAAAAGATTCCATAAAGACATTTCTACTATAGAAAGGCGTTATGAAGAGAAGTGGGTACATTCTATGTTAGCAGATTATTGCTGGAATATCATTTGAGAGAAGAAAAATTCTCAATACAAGAGAAAAAGTGATGTGCATTACTATATGGTGGCTCATTTTTGTCAATTTTCTGTAATTGCTCATGTGAAATAAATGCTACAAAGCAAATACACTAAGATGTATATGTTATATGTTAGATCCCAACCTCCCTTAATATGATGAACTTAATAACATCATAAAAAAGCTGATTTTTTTCTTGAATTTCAGCTAATGTGTCCTGCACTATATCAGAAACATAAAGAAAAAATAAAATTGTGATTACTCATAAACTATCCCTGACAGAAAAAAACTAAAAACAGGTTTGAATTCAGTGCTCGAAGTACAACTAGGAACACAATGTATTTTTTCAGAAATAGAAAAAAAGTTTTTTTTTGCAGAACAGTGTTATTAATCGGTTCATAAAGTATCGTTATTTTGTGTGCAAATTTTTGGGGAAATTTTGGGTCCTGAAAATATTCTGCATGCCTTTTTATAAGTTGTATTGTACCACATTACTT